AAACTACAACATAATTTTTCTGGTATTAACTGTGCTGTTGCGCATGACAATGCAATGCTTGTCAGTTTGGAGTCACATAAAGCTCACACTTTAGTCAGATACAGCCAACACTTTCAAATGAATACATCAAACATCATTAAAATCTGACAACTGCATACATTCCTCCATGTTCTTAGTGGCTTTTTGGAATCAAAACTTCAGCCTAATTCTGGCATTGAAGTTGCATTTCCAAAGAGCCACAATATCAAGGGGACGGGAATGTGCAAGATATGTCTTCCATACCTTTTGAAGCTGGGGTTCAAGGGAGAGTGTCTTAAGCATCTCGGACAGGGCATAGCCTTGTGAAAGACATCTATGCACCCTAAAAGGAGCACACAGACCAAAATGAATCTTTTGCAAATTCTTAATGCTGCTCTTAACCACCTGGATCTTGGCAATCAGACCCAAACCCAAGCTCAGAACCCAAACCTTTCTTTTGTTCTCCAGTTGTAGCTGCATTCGACATGGTCAAATGCTTTTTCTTGATCTAATACAAACAAGCATGCTTAAGATCCAATAAACTGGAAGTCTCCATAACACCCCAAATCATGGATTATTTTATCTGCCATGACCTGATGGTGATGCAGTAGGTGTGGTCCCAGTGGATGGCCAGCTCCATGACTTCTCTGAGCCCAGTTGCTAGGGATTTACAGAGCATCTCATAATCAGTGCAGAGTAGAAACCCAGACACCAGTTCAAGTTCTCAATGTCCTGCAGGTTTTGTTGGGCCCACAGGATTGTGTGCTGAGCTGTGTTAGGGTTTCTCTTACCTATTCCTCTTCAGAGTCTCCAGCCCAGAAAAGCCTCCAGCTGGTTCCAATTGGACGCAGTCAGGGAGCAGTATTTAGAGGAGTGGATTTCCTGGGACGGACACCAGTCGGTTAATTTCCGCATAGTGGTAACGTACGTGCTCTCCTAAGACTGAACATTGTGCTTAGACTCAAGTTTACTTCCTTGTCTTCATTCTCTCCTAGAAGCCTTGCAGTCTCCAAGCCAGTTCTCCACCCAGTCCTCCTGGATCCATCCTCGATTGCTCACCTGCCTGTCCACGCTCTGGACCTCTCAAGCCGAAGCCCCAGCATCTCAACCAAACTCAATCTCTGTGGGCTCATCCAACCTCCCCTCCATCTGCTCCGCTCTCTGAGGAACTGTAAGGAGTTTGCATCTTCTCTTAATAACTCAGTTCCCCAGCCTGAATCTAATTGATCTCTCTCCCTGTGCAGTTCCTGACTAAGCCGCTGTTTCACGAACCTCTACGACGGTCCAAACAATCTCTGTAAAACTTCTCAATAAACATTCTAAACTGCTTCCTGACTCATATTGTGTCTGCGCCAGAGTCTACTCTAGAATCATGTCAGGTTTTCTTTTTTGGGCAGAAAGGTTAATGCCATGTAACATGAAAAGCAGTAGTGAACCAGTGACCAGATATTAATTGTAGACTTCAAGCAGATCTTGTGCTGGGATGTCAAAGAATGCTTTGTAAAACCCCTTATTGAGTCCATCATTACCAGGAGCCTTCTGGCACTGCATGATAAGGAGGACTGCATGGCGCTCAGGTATCCCAAAGGAAGCTTCAGCTGTGTGTTGTCTTTTCAGAGACCTGGAGTAACCTGTTTCAGCTCTCCCTAAAAAGTCCTTGTTCTCACTGTACTTACTCTCAAAAAGAAGAGTGAAAATCCTCAGTCCTTCTCCTAATCTGGCCTGGTTCACTCAGTTGCTGCCCTATGTCAGATATAAAGAGGGGATCACCTTCCTCTGCCTTTGTATCCTCTCCATCTGTTTAAAGAAACTTGATGGAGCATCAATCTCTGTTTTGTTCTGCACTGAGACCTTACTTACCACCTTGGATTTTAGATTCAAGCAGGTTTTCTAAAACTGGCATTTTAGATTTGAGAGCTTCCATGTGCTACTGAACCCATGTGGACTAAGACTCAACTATGTTTATTCACAGATCTAGTAGATTGATTTGAACTTTTCCATGTTCCCACAATCCATTAGACAAGTAAATTAATGTTTTCTTTGTCTAAAAACAGTGCAAAAGAACTTAAAGCCTCTCTAAAGTTGATATAATGGGTGAAAGCCAGATTTCAATGACAGTAGGCACTTTTGGGTAACTTTTTTGTGATTAAAAACACCCCCTAAAAGCAATTAGCGGTCTGTAAAAAATACTGCTAAATTCTGGCAATGATTTAAATGCATAAAGATGGTTCTTAAAACAATGCAAATGATCAAGTCAACCAAAAGGGTTAAAGTTCTCTTTGATGTGAGACCATGTGTGCTGTCTGTGGCATTTATATATCATCCTCTTTACATCCACTAGGCTATAAAAAGTCTGAAAACTAATTTCCTGTACAATTAAAATGCCCAACTAAAAATGCATGATCTTTTGACAAGCAAATCTGCCAACCATTTCCAAATTTCCTCTAAAAAAGTTTCCTCCCTGCTTTAACTAAAATAAACCTTCCTTAGATGATATGCTGTATTTTAAAAGGGTTTGGGGTAAAAACCTTAGAAAAGTGCTGGTCCACCACAGAACTCTGGGAGGTGCCATGAATAAAACTGGCTTCTCCCTTCCCCTCTCGGCACCAGTCCACTTCATTATTAAATTCACTATCGGTTTCTTGTAAAAATAACATATTGATTCTTTTAGGCAGTACTTTTTAATATATCATGGTGCATTTTACCGCCTTACCTAGATGCACTTATATTTAGCTAACTCAAAGTTATTGTGTTAGGTAAATTGCTAAAAGTGGCACCACAACAAAACTTTAGATAAAAAGCTGACGCACATCATTATACCCAAAAGTATTTTCTGACTTTCTCCATCATCTCTTTCAGACTATTAACCTCCTGATCAGAAACACCAGACTCTTCTTTTCTTCTGATATAACTTTCAAAGAAATAAAAGGTCCTTAAATTTAGAGGGAAAACAAAACAAAGATTTCAAACTTTAGACCTCTTAACCCTTTGGTCTGCTAATGAAACTTGTTAAGAGACTCAATAGGATAATGGTGCTCTGAACTGTTGATCTGTGACAGCGACACCTCACTGCTGTCAGACAGCTCCCCTTCACTATCACTTCTGTACTGTTGCTCGGAGGGAGAGACACCTCACTGCTGTCAGAGAGGTCCCCATCACTATGGATACTGTCTGTGTTGTATTTTCTTTCTTTGGCCGGTTTGACGACCTGCCTACTGGCCTGGTCAGCAGCAAATACATTTTTCATTTCAAAGTGCAAAAATTATCTAAAAAAACAAACAAACTATACTTTTCTTTAATTAACTGTATTCACCCTTAATTTAAGTAGTTAAATAAGATGATTTGCCAATGGAATGAGCATTTCTATTCTTAAAACAAGACAATTATTTTATATATACCACACCTTTCAGATATTTCCACTTTTCTCAATCCAAAGGATATTTTTCCAATTTTGGGTGGATAGGATATAAATATTGACCTCTGATCTTACTAACTTAAGGTAGGTAAGGTCTGCAGAGCTTTAGATGTTGTTGTGGGCTTACTGTAACTTATCGGATAGTTCCCTGCAGAAGTTTTGAGAAGGTTCTCTTCTGTTTCCTGCTTTCTCCATTTATTGGTGATGACTCTTGCTTTTGTATCTCTAAGCCTAAAAAATGGCGATCTTACCCTTTCTAGTCTGACAGACAGTTCTTCCTTGAGTTGATTTTTTAGACATATTAGGCTATTTCTCAACATACTGTTTGGTCCTCTTATTATAGGAGTGTGGGGTAAAATGCCTTTAGGTTAGTAGAGCTTAATGGGAAAATGGTTAAATAATAAATTAACAAAAGGCAGTTATGTTATCTTTTAGTTATCAGGCTCTTCTCCTGTGGAACCAACCAGTTTTAGTCCGTGAGGCAGACACCCTGTCTACTTTTAACTTAGAAGTTTTTCCTTTTTTATAAAGCTTATAGTTAGAGAGGCTCAGGTTATTTTGAGCTATCTCTTGAGCTATAGTTATGCTGCTATAGGGTTAGACTTTTGGAGGACATAAGGATCCCTTTTTCATCATCCTGCTTCATTCTATCCCTATTCTACCACTCTGCAGAATCTCTTAGTTCAATCTTTAATGTTCTGCTCTGTCTGCTTTTTCTCATAGTAGCTTCACCTCTTCCGTCCCTGTTTGGCTGTGACTCCATGCTGGAGGGAAATATCAGCTGTGCTGCTGCCATCAACACCTTTGTTTATAGATATTGGAGATCAGCCTGTTTTTCAGTGTAGTCCTGTTTCTCTAACTGCGACTAACTGGATGTGCTCTCTGCCTGGCTGTGTGTTTCCTGGATGGGGCCTCCTTTGCTTTTTGTATCTCTGCTTCTGTCTCCTTGAACCCCAGTCGGCCTCAGCAGATGGCCGCTCACACTGAGCCTGGTTGTGCTGGAGGTTTCTACCTGTTAAAAGGGAGTTTTTTCTCTCCACTGTCGCTACAAGCATGCTTAGTGTGAGGGATTGCATTTGAGTCAATGAGTCATGCAATCTTTTTGACTGTATGATCTGGTGAACTGTAAAGTGCTTTGAAATGACTTGTGTTGTGAATTGGCACTATAGTAATAAACTGTATTGAAAATTGGTTTGGATGTTTTTTTTCCTATTATAAATTTGTAAAAGTGAGTGACTGAGTGTTGTATTATTGAATTGTTTGATCTAAAACATTTAGGTGTGAGAAAAACATTCATATTTCCCATGGAGTCTTTGATTATATTTCAATGATATGCAAAAAGCATAACTAAATGCCATGGCTTTTCATGATGATGGAATGATTAAAAAAAACAAGAACTGCTTAATTTCCTCTGAGCAAAGCCTTGAATAAAAAATATTTTCAGTCAGACTAAATTTAAATCTGTACATATTATATAAGCGCGTCCATGACAAGCAGCTCAGTGTATCCCTGCTGGGAAGAAGTGAATGTGTGGAAGCTAGAACCCTCCCTCCTTGTCCGCATCTCATTAAGCAAGTCCCGCTGTAGGTGAAGCTGCCTCTCTCTGCCATTCTGAAGCAGGTGTCCAACATGGCGAACGCTCGCAGCGGCTCTCTGGCGACTATTCTCTTTCTCTTCGTGTTCCCAGCGGCTCTTCACCAAGGTAGGAGTTTCGCTGCTTGTGTGTGGACGGAGGACGCCCTTTGTTCTCGCATTTCCGCGGATGTAGATGCGGAGGAGTGTCCATATAAGCAGTTTATTTATTCATTTGGATCCGTGCGCGGCTGAGCTGTTTGGATATAGCTGATATGTTTTGCACCAAGTGAGAAAACACGTCCCTAAAGTTAAAGCGTTGCGCAGAACAGGGTAGATTTAGGTGTTTTTGGCGTTGCAGAGGCGCTGCTTAGCCGATACATCACTTTGGACCGCTCACCATTTGGCTGGAGGCTAAACCTCTTTTTCCCCATTCAACTCATTTAAGCAAATGTTGCTAAATAAAAAAAATGTTTGTCTTTGAACATAGAAACATGCTCGGATGCTCTCCGTGGTTTAACTGTGACTGTTTAGTCAGAAAGGTTACTTTGTTGCATGTTTAGAACAGACAGAGCTGTGAATCGGAGAGCAGCAGAGCGTGGAAAGTCCTCCATGCAGCAGCCTTACCGTGTGAGAGCAAACTGCACACGCAACTTTGTTAATTTCATTTGTGATCATCAAGTTAAAGATTGTGACTGCTTTTACGTTTGCATATTTGTTGACAATAACTGTGCCGATATGTTTTGATGAATAAGACCCCTTTCTAATCTGTTTGCTTCGTGATTGATCTCATCTTTCTGAATTTAATATTGAGGCATTGCGCTCTTTGTGCGCCTTTTTCATATCTGTGCGCCCAAATAATAAACCATATCTATTTTTTTCTTGTGGTCAGATAAATGACAAGACAAGTGTTTATAAATACACATTACTGTAATTGCATAGCATTTTTTTAAATAATAATATAGGCTCGAATGCGCCCTGCTTTTAAAATTCAGGTTCTAATTCCAGTCGATCTCCAATCAATAAATAAATATCAATTTACTGGGAAATCCAAGCCAAATGTAGCCTATTTGCAGAAATTATTAGTAGATTGTAGATAAACAAACAATAACTTGCTTTGCAAAGCAAGTACGAAACATCATGTGGCATTTCGTGCAAGGAGGAGCACGAAAAACAAAAGGTTGGAAATTGAGCTGGAGCGAAATTGAGTGGATTTTGTGTTGCGACTCGTTTATCTACTTGAGTCGATGAATGTTTTCTGAAAGTGAATGCTTGTCCACAGAGATCCACGCTGTATCCTAGACAAGCTTAGTGATGCGTTTGAACTCTTGAGAGAAGTTAATGAAATAAATGAATCTTGGGGTTGTTACTGTTGCGCACCGGTGCTGTTTTCTTTCAATGGGAGCTGGGTTTGCAGAGAAAACATCAAAGCTTCAACTCGACTGTTTTAATCTGAGGTGGAAGGTTTCAGAGAGCGGATACTTAAGATAAAGCCACAGGGTGAAGACATGATTTTTCTCCGCTTTTTTCCCCCTACTAATATGGGAGAAGCGTGCGTGACTCTGCGCTCTGCACGTTTCCATTCCAAAGTGGCATAACGCGCAATAGTTAACACGCAAGTCAGTGTTTAACTGTTGGGTTTTTTCTTAAGCTTATGTTAATGTTCGCTATTTTAAACAGTCAGTGAAGGCAATCGGTGAATCATCAACTAAATGCTTTGCTGAGGCTTTTTTGCATGAAAACATACAAAAACGCCTCATTTCTTGAGCTCCAGCCTCTAGTGGTGAGAATGACAGTGAAAGCAGCTGTCGACATTTGTCACATTGTGGATTATCCACAAGACTTAATCCAGTTTTATCCCCATAAATGAAAAATGGATGCACAGTCGTGTTTTTTTTTCTTTCCCTTCTTGGAGCAAGAAAGTGATAAGTTCACCAAAAGCACCACAGAGTAACCAAACGAGCGTCTGATCTTTGGACAGTGCGCAATGCTGCTTTACCTCCACGGTAATGGCTCCACTGATTTCACACACAGCTCAGGGCACTCTGGCACAAAGCATATAAATTATTCACCTCCAGCTGCATATTCTAAGATCACATTGTGCCCATGCATTTACAGTGTTTTTCTTTTTTTTTCCCGTTTCCAATCTCTAATACAAAACACTTTCCACCAACATATTTCAGGCTGCCATTCCCGTCCATCCAGGTTATGCACTCCTCTAAAGCCCAACTGCCTATATTCCTCTGTTTTGTTTGTTACAAACTAGATGTCACTGGGTGTGGCATATTCTAATGCAGGGAATTGACCCAAAGAAATGTAAGGTTTTGCATTGTAGCAAGCAAGGCTTGGATATTTTGCTTTTTGTGCACGGTGACATTAAAAACAACAACAACAAAAAAACAGTTATTGAGAAAATATATGAAACGCACAATGCTGCAATACCCTGGTTTTATTAGATGGAACAGAATAATCATTTGTTTTCTCACAGTGGGGAAATTAAGGAGCAAGTAAAGGGAAAAGTTTGCAACAGAAAAAAAATCCTCTGCAGTTATTAAAAAATGTATACTCAGGTTTACTGAAATGAAGTGTGTTTTAAAAGTGTGCATAATGCACATATGTATTTGTGCATAAAAGGAGCAATAGACTACATATAATGATAAAAAAAATCAATGTGACAGTTTTGAAATTGTTGGATGCAGAGATGAGGAACTGTAGTTGCAGCTGCTGGGAGAAAGGATGTGTGATAACTCTCCTTTTAGGACCTATGGTGCAGCAGTTTTACACTCTTGACTTCTCCTTGGGGGAAAAAAAAAGACTTATTCCTGAAACTAAATAAAAAGTGGTTTTAGCAACTAACAGTTTAGGAGTGTGCACACTTTTCCTCCTTCATTATTGATCCGCTCTTATTTCATTTTTTCTTTCATTAAGTCAACAGTTTTTGCTGTTAAAAAAATCAAATCTTATGGAAAGATGGAGCTACTGTGGATATCATTGTACAAAAAGTAAAGTTTTTTCAAATCACTTTTTGGAAACGGACTCTGATTTTAATCCATTTTTTGTTCTGAAATTAACTACGTAATAAGCGGTTGTGCCTGACAGAACCCTTTGGTAGAGAGCCCAGATATCAATCAAAGAGCTTTCAGACTCATTAGAAATCAGCCTAAAACCCAAAATCTTACAGTAGTGGTGTGTGACACTGAAATACACTGACGACAAACCTAAAAACCTTCCCCAGGATACCACATACCAGTGTATTTTAGTGTAACGGATCATTATGCTAAAAAAACTCATCATTACACTGAAAATCAGCCTGATATGCTCATTTTATAGGCCTACAAGCCTTTTGAATGACACCTGGGCTTCCTCAAGAGTGCTATTCAAGACACTGGTTACGCTGGAACTTTTAGAGCAATGAAATTATGTTGATACCTTGACTTAAAATTAGTGTAATTTTCACAGAAAGCAACAGGAACCTTTTAAAGACATATACCTCCTTATTTCCACACATGAGAGAAGTGCTGTGAAAACGAGAACCCCACTCCATTCAGTGCCATTGGCCTGGCTCACCAAGGCAGGTCTATCCAAAGGTTGTTGTACCATGTTTTTTGTTGTTGTTGTTGTTTTTTCCTCCTACGCTGTTTACATTTGATCTGCTGCACTTGTGGCATTGCAATGTGGCAATAAGAATAATTGTCTTGATGCCAAAAAGAGCCCAACAGATTTTACTTTCACAAGTGTAGCAGTATGGCATTTCATGCATATAAATTGCTTTATTATAATTATGCTGGGAGTTTTACAGTTTATATGGACACTGCAATGTAAAAAAAGCAGAAAAACAGAAGAAGAAAAAAAAAGAAAAAGAGAAAAGATGAAAGAAAGAGGAGATGGAAAGAAGACAATGACAAAACATTTTCAGTCTGCTTCATCACCTGTAACGAGATGAAAAAAGAACAGCACAACCGAAAGACATGGTACGAGACATACAATAAAGCAACACCTTGAAACTGTCGCTAAAGTAGTATTATTATGATCACTGCTGCACTTTAATAAATAAAAATGTTTATTTCACTGCTAAACTGATGCTCGTTCACTGTCTGAAAGCTGTGCAAAACGAAATTTTATTTTGTGTACCCTCTGGGTACACAAAATTACAATAATAGTTCTCTAAGTCGTAATGCATAAAACAGTGTTTGTTTGGATATTTTTAGTTTCAAAATAACTTCTTCATATTAATGTTGTAAAAACAGCTGCAATAAATAAGTTTAGTAGAATTAGGTAAATTCTAAAAAAATGCAAAACAAAAAACACAACATCCACATGAAACCATATCCATAAAGCTGAGCAACTAATAAACTACAAGTACAGCCTGGCAAGAAATCAATATTAATATATCAGGATGGACATCTGCCCAGTATTGATATGAGATATGTCCCAACAAATTTTCTATTATTCCACTGAACTTCAGTTCAGAATCACATGGTATCAGGGGAATGTAGGCAGATAAAATGAATTAACTAGTTACCCTTTTACAGCTAAACTAAGCAAAATTGGTAATAGGCCTGACCTATATTTAAAGGTTAAAGTTAGTGTTTAAATTGGGTTAGGGATACAATTTAAATCCAGAATTTTATTTCTTGGTCCTTGTATGTTAAATAGGAAAAAAACAGCTTCCAATAATTGACTGAAAAATAGACTGATCTGAAAGGCTTATTCTATGGTACATTTTTATAGCCTGGGTGAACTTAGTCCCGCCCACAACGTTTGAGGTCGGGAAGTTCGGTCTGGCATTGCTCAATAGTAGCGCGAGTATGCTCGCCCAATATCTGGTCGGGCCAATCAAATTGTCAGGGCGGGCTTTATACGATGATGGACAGATGATCAACAGTAACATAATCAACCACGTCACCAAAGTGCACTTGGGTGACAATAACAATGGCTGCCGCTGGAGAGCTGAGGTGTGTAGATTCTGCTATTAGGTCTGTTCTAGAAGATATCGACAGCAAATTCATTTTAAAAGAGGAACAGAGAAACGCGATCAAAGCATTTGTTAAAAAGAAAGATGTTTTTGGCATCCTTCCTGCGGGATTCGGCAAAAGTTTAATTTATCAGCTGGCTCCCTTGGTCGCTTAA